CACATTCCGGCTCTGCCTCTCTCCTGCTCTCACTCCCATGGGAGCTGTGGGAGCCACCTCTGCACTGAGCCAGTTTTGAGCCATGATCCCACCATGCTTGACCACAGCAATGTTCTTTTCTCTTGTAACAGAGCCTTCAAGGTGAAAAATGGTTTTTAAAAGTAAAAACTAACTCAGTGCCTTGCACACAGCAACTCTTGAAGTCCCTGTCACCAGGAAAGAGGGTTTTGTCTGGCGTGGGCCACCCCTCTGTGCCTCAGCCACTTGGGGCTCACTGTCCCCGTTGGGAGCTGTGGGAGCTGTGTGGGTCTGCTGGGACTGGGGAGGGAGCAGAATGAAGCCTCCAAACCCCAGGGCACAGGCAGGGACATCCCCTGCTGCTGGCCCTGCAGCTCAGTCCCTCCAAGGAGCAGCAACACTGGCTCCTTCCCAAAGGAGAAGCACGGCCAGAAACTCTGCCATGCGTGGCTTATGTGCTGGAGAGAGAATTTCTTTGGCTGCCACAACACTTGACTGAGTGACAGAGCCTTTTCCTGTCTTTTCACAAGTCCGTAAAGACCACAAGGGCTGGAAAGCCTTTTAGTTTTGCCCCAAAGAAATGCAAGATGTGCAGCTCAGTCATGCAATTGCTTGTTCTGTTTTCCCACTGACACTGGAGCCAGCAGCATTTTAACCCTGAGCTCCCCAGTCCCAGTGGCTGCCACAGCTGGGAGCTGCTCCAGCAGGTTGGGAGCTGGTGCTGGATGCTGAGCCAGAGCCCAGCACTGCCCAGCCCTTCCCACCAGCAGTGTTCCTGCTGCCTCTCTGACAAATTTGGGTGGAGGCAATGCTGCGCTTGCTAGGAAAGCCCCCGGGCCCTGGAGTTTCTTTCCCTCAAGTCAGTGGGGTGGCATTAGGGTTTTGGGGCCAGGAAGGGGAACAGGAGGCAGTTTAAACAACTGGGATTGCTTCAGGGACTGGATCTGTCCTGAAATGCCACAGACACTGAGAAGCTCTGAGCCACCTTGAGCTTCTCCTGATGCAGCAGCCTCCCCTGGAAAGCTATGGACAATTGGCACAGGGAGGGGACTTTCAAGGAGAGAGCAGCAGAAGCAAGCCAGGGCCTCTCAAGCTCCTCCTCAGCCTGGCATAGCCTGGCACAGCCCAGACTGCCAGCCTCTGCCCCTGGAACTGCATCCACTCCCAGAGCCCTTCTCTTTAGCCCAAGACTCATGGAAATACACTCTCTGTACAGAATCATCTCCAGAGACAGAACCTATTTATGGGCTTCTTTTAACAGCTTGTTCAGAATTAACTTTTTTTTTCTCTCAGTTTTCTCTCCTGCTCTGGACGTCCCTGGGCAGAGGGAATGTTTCCACCTCTCCCAACTACTGCTACTTAACTATTTGGTGAAGAAAAGCAGTGTCTGGAGTTACCTGTCCCATTACAAACCTAATTATTATTCTTCCTGTGACCCAGCATTTCCAAATCAAAATGGGACTTTGCCACATCCCAAAATGACAAGCTGAATCCTGACTTTGTGTCTCTCCTGGGGATGCACTGGCTTTCACATGCTGGATAAATAAATGCTGCTGGTAGTTGTAAGTAAAGTGCAATGACAGCACATGTGACTTATGCAGGCATAGTAAGATGCAGTCACATCAGTTTGGCAGTAAACTATGGCCCTGTTAGGTGCTCTACTGGAAACAGGAGTTTTTAATGGAAGTTTTAATTTAAGAAAACATGGGGTTTGTTAGAAAATTTTCATAACTGGGTGATCTCCAATAGTAATTTTATTATGGCTTAAAACAGTAGTTAAAAGCCTCTTGTACTGTAAAAAGGCTTTGCTCCAAGATGAAAAAATACTTCCCTCCTCTGAAGGAAATGAAATAATTATAGCTGAGACAACACTTCTTCATTGTCTTTGCTAACCTAAGAGCTGTGAGAGAAGAACTAAACATTGCCATTCAGTTTTTGTGGCCCTACACCCTGGACTAGCAGGACAGGCTGTGGGTTTCCTTGGTGGATGCCCAATGTCTGCCCTGGCAGCCAGAGGCTGTGCAAGTCCATCCCTGCCCCTGCAGCAGCCAGCCAGGACTGAGCCACGCAGGGACCCTGCAAAGCCACACGAGGGTGGAGCCCCACCCCAGCTCACAGCTACTTGTGGTTAGGAGAGAGGGGAGCATGCAGAAAAATTACTCCTGTGGACATCAGGAAAGTGTCCAAACCCAAATGTTTAAGAGGCATCCTAGAAATGCTAATGAGCACATGTCTGCAATGGAAAGTTTAATTCCTTTGTACATCCTCAGCCACTTATTTCCTTTGGGCAGTTTTTGGCTCAAATTCTTGTCTCCTGCTGCTCTGTGAATACTGCCCATGCCACACTTGCCACTTCATGGCTTCATGGAAACATTATTTTCTTCTTGCCTGCATCTGCTTTTCCAACTCTTGTCTTCTCCCAGGGTTTCTGTTCTTCAGTCCTGCCACTTACCTGATACAGATATGGTTGTTTTTTAGTTTCCCAAACCAGTGGGGTTGGGATAAACTCAGTCCATGCCTTGCACATGTCTGTCCTCCTACCTCCATACTCTTCCTCTCTCGAGTCTTACTGCAAAGCCCTTGGCTGAATTCAGCAGGGGGAACTCATCCAAGCCTCCAGTCAGAACGTGGGGCTCAGAAAAGTGAGGTGTGTCCCAGCATCTGGAGCTTCCTGATTGAAATGCACTCCCCTAGGTGACAAAATTAAAATGTAGGTCCCTAAAATTGGGTGCCTGATGCCACAGGGTTAGATAGTTTCAGCTGCTTGATCTGTACTTCCATATGCACAATCTTCTTTTTGCTGGCCTCCCCTTCTACATCAAATGCTCCTCCTAAAATTGCCCTTCATTTATGGCTTCCCCCACTGGTGTCTTTATCCTGATAGCTCAGTACAGCTCTTATCTTGGTGCCCTTCCTGACATCTCCAAACCTCTCCCACAAGCTGCCAGTCACATTTGGAAGCCACTCCCTGTGGAGAGTCCATCAGCTTTGTCCCCTCCTCCAGCCACTCCCCACATGCCAAACACAAAATTAAAGCAAGATCAGCTTTGTGCCTTTAGGATCCACCATTAATTGCTCATTGCCATAGAATATTTTGCAGTAATTAAAAAAATATTATATATGTTGTGGAATCCCTGGGAAAAAGTCTTTTTTTCCCCCATGTGATCATAGAGAATACAACAGTGCCTTTGGAGAAATCTTGTTTGTGCAGACCAGAAGGAAGTAAGGAGCACTGCCTTTGACTGGCATGATGCAGCATGACCTGCTTAGTGAACCTGAGTGAATCTGAAATACCACACAGCTCCCAGTGCCAGGACGATGCCAGAAGATGCAGAGATGGTCTCATCCTGGTCTGCTGTGTAGGAAAGGGGGAACAGCTGTTTCAGAGATGCTGATCTCAGCCAGGTGCAGCACAACTGAGGGAAAGCTTGAGAGGGTTTTTGTACCAGCTTTAAGGTGATACCCCTCAAAACAGAACAGAAAAATCATGAAAAGGAGAACCCTAAATCATGGTAAGGTGACTGAGTGCTTTTGAGAAGGTGGGCTGCCAAATGGAGCACTCCAGATGTAAAAAATAACATACGTTTATCGTTAAGAAAAAAATTAACAATATACTATTTTATATTTTATCCCCCTAGAAAATGATTGATTTCTACTTTCACAATATAGAATCTGGTTGCTTTTTTTCTCTTTTGCCTCTTCAAATCTCAGTTTTCAAGCAAAAATTTCTTCCAATTAAAAAAAAAAAAAAAAAAAGAAACAAAAAATTCAAAATCAGGGTTGGCTCATAGTCTGGGGACAGAGGGGTCCATCTCCCTTGGGATGACTCCTGTAGGCTGCCCCTCTCCCCCACTGCCCCTTCAGCCAGAGCCCAGCCCAGTCCCCTCAAACCAGGAGCATGCCCAGGAAAGAGCCACAGCTGGATTTGCCTCTCCAGGGCTGCAGAGGGTTCAGTGGCCCAGCAGGGGACTGTAAGAAGCTGTGGGGGAGAGAGCTCAAAACTCCCCCAAACTCAGCTTTGCTCACAAGGCGACTTGTGAGAATTTGTTGTCAATTTCTGTGCACCCCCCTCCCTCCCTCTCTTGAGTGCATAAAGCAAATCTTTGTGTTGAAAACCAGAAAAGGAAAGCTGTATGGTCTTTTATCAGACGTTTTCCCAATTCTTACATTCTTAATATCAATGTCATAATGAAGAAATTATGCTGCTTGTATCGTGCATGATTTTTCTAACCAACATTATTTTTTGAGATTTCCCACCATCTTTGCGGTGTTATAGCAGCCTTTTGCCAAAATACTTTTTAAAATGTGGAATTGAAATATTTTAACCTTTTAAAAACCTTAATCACATTAACAACAACAAAAAAAAAAACAACAATCCCCTTTTTGCTTTTATTAAATGATTTGTAAAATTGAATCAGGAACTACGTGCTGTTCTGCCATCCTCTTCCTTCTGCCATCTCTAACTTACTTTCTCCTTCTCACAATTTTTGGATCTTTTACTCTGCTCAGGGTAATTGTGAGTCCACAAAACCGCACCTACCTCTTGTGATAAGCAACCTGAAATCTGAGCCATCAGAGATGGAATTTTGCACCCTGAATTTCCCAGATAGGACTCCAAAGACACAAGGACTGAGAATTTCGCCTTTCAAAATCACATTTGGAAAATGAGAGCTGTGGCAAAACCTCTTCTCTGGGAATGCTGCTTCTCAGCAGCTGGGAGCCAGCTCTGAAATCAAGGTCTTTTTGGAAGAAGCCAATGGAAATAGGCAGATCCCATTTCCAAGATCACATTTCCATTGCCCAAGGCTGCTGAATCGATAGGGAGGTTCTAGCCTCACATGAGTGACCAAGCTGTAACCCATAAACTTCCACTGGCAGAAAGCTCCATCAGAGCTGGAAAACCTGGATCCAAAACTTCCTTAGGTGACTGATTAGCAGCATGTCAGTAGCAAGACCTTGCAACAAAAGTGATAAGTGACAAATTTGAGGAGTTTTACAGTACTAATGCTTGTTATTGCTTCTCACAAAATGTTACCAAGCTTACAATAATCTTTACACTTTCAGCAAAAATGTGAACAGTATATTTGAATATATTAAAAAGAATTAAAAAAACATTTCACAAAAAACATTTGTTGCCATATGAAAGTCTTTCAGCAATAAATGCCCACACCAGTATTTAAACATTGTTAAAAGTATAATGATTTGTACTAATAAATTATGCAACAAGAGAGGTAAACAAAATAAAATTACAGTATAGCTCTCCATGTTCCTCCACTGAGCATCCACAGCTCTCGGAAGCTCCATTTTAGATGACTAATTAAGAAACTGATATTTTCAGAGCAACAAAAATAAAAGCTTTTATTTGTTCATTTGAATATAAAACAGGCGTTATCACAGATGTACAAAGCGTACTGGTGGTTTAACATACAAGAAGGTTGCTGTCCTTTGCACATAAAAATTTTTGTTTGAATCTGTGATTGGCTGAGTTACATGAATTTCTCTAACCAGTCACCACACTCTATGAAATAACGCTGCTAACATTCAACTGATAAAAGGGACAGTCTTCCCTTGGGTAAAGTGTCAAGCAGGATTAAATATATATAATAAACAAGCACCATGAGGAATCTGCTCCTGTTTGATTAGTTTTGTGTTTAAATGTTCATTGTGTACCCTCTCTTTTTGTGCATGTGCATCGAGTTGATTACATGGTTTTGTCTGACTCCAAAAGCACAAGGTCACAAGACAAACATTTTATACATTCTCATGAATGGTTTATCTACAGTACAGTTTCTAATACAGAACAATCCTTCTTTATTGCTCAGTCTGATGGTGCTTAAATGTTTCCCTCCTTTTGCTTGCACAACAAAACCAGAAACTCAGTTTACCATTTCTCTTAACTCAGGATTTAACAACCACAGATGACAGGTTGCAGAAGAGAGCTGTTATTAACTGCGTTTCACAACTGCATTGCAGTTCTTTTATTCTCTACAAATGCAAAGTTGACTTCGTGAAGGTTAAAGTGATGCTTTGAACGACGCGAGATTTGTTTTGCAGTACTGAGATCAGCGATAGCAGGACTTCACAAGTTAGTTCACACACTGCAATTATGTTTGTAATCAATCAACATCTTGTCTGAAACCTTACAACAACTTGCCATTAAGAACAGATTTTATTCTTTTTAGGGAGCAGAAAATGAATTTGACAAAGTATGGGATTGGTCTGCAGAGCAGGAATAGGGCTATTCACAGGACAGTGAGGGCGGAAAAGATGGCCTGAAAGAAAACGCGTCTGACGTGGCGAGATGCTCTGTACTGTACATGCAGACTAAAACGTCCCTACCTTTTAAAAAGATTTTTAACACCCAGCATTGAGACTCCCTTATACGTGATATAAACATGATAACATTTGCCCTGCAACAATCTTAGTCATGCATATCCGGTAATGAGAGCCAGCACATGAACGTCATTTGGGACAAATAAGAAAAGCATTCTTGGACTGCCGCTGGTAAATCCCACTCTTGATCACAAACATGTCAATTCAGTTACAACCACATGAAGGAAGGGGAAGGTTTTAAAAAAGGGGGCATGGGGGGCAGGGAAGACAACAGAACTGGGGAATCAGACCCCTCTTTTCTCCAAAGGTAGTAAAATGAAGGCAGCTGTGATGCATGTTTTCCTACTCTTCTCCCAGGATGGCCTCAGGCTGGAGACCACGGGACTCCTCGGCTCCTTAAGCAGGCAGATGTGTTCCTCTGATGTTTTAATGCGTTTAGGGACTAGTTAGCAGATGCACGATCCGTGCCAAAGGGTGGTAGTGACTGTTCGCTCCTCTCCGTTAAGGAATAAATTAAAGACCATCGAAACAATCGTTTCCTGTAAATGTAAACTGGAAGCGTTGGCCACTGAGCTACGTGTCCTAGCTGAGAGGCAAATTGATAACTCTGTGCAAAAAACCCCAAAACTTTTCCTTATAGCAGTAAAAACACCAACTAAAACAATGAAAAAAATTGTGCAACAAAGTTCTGCAGCTAGACAACAGTGCTATTCCTCAACCTGCCTTTTCTAAGTCTAACAAGTGTATGCACATGCCAGCACGAATATTTATTGTTGCCTCCATGGCAAAGAAAAGAAAATTATTGTAGTGCATTTTTAGTCTTAAATTCATTCACTGCCTTAAAGGCAGCAATAATTCCACTTGCTGGTATCTAGAGGATTCTTTTTGACAGGGATACTTAGCAATCCAGGATTGCTTTTTTTCTTTTTCCAAAAAATTTGTGAGTAACATTTGATTATCTACAGTGGGAGACACCATGCAAGTGACAAGTACTGCATTTTAAACTTTAAAATCTTTTGTCATTAGTGAATTTATATTTCATATATATATATTTGATGTGATACTATCCACTCAAGATAATACAACACTTTGTTTTTATATTAGCAAACATTTCAAGAGTTTAATATTCTTGAATGTTTCTTCTCTTTTATACTTCTAAAGAGATCAAAATAAATTAAACGTTTTGTACATAATTACAGAAGAAGTAGTTAACTTATTTTATCTTTTTAGTTTAGTACAAAGATATTTGCAAGCTCATTGCCGAAATACACCTTATTTATAAATTTCTTCCATTCTAACGCTAACAGCAAAGGCTCTTTGGCCTTTGGGCTTTCAGCATCTCTGACAGAAAGCTGCAAAATTTCTAATTGAAAGGTGCTACTTTGGGTTTTCTCCTCGTACCACTACGTATTTTCCTAAGATGTGGGATCTAAAATGGCTTCAGTTAGTAATGGATCTGTATTCATCAGCCTTTTATGACATATTAAAACAAATGAAGGAAACAACTATTTGTATTAGTATGCAAATTGTTTAAAAAGAATCCATTTGGAGGGCAGAATAAAAAAAATCTACTTCAGCTTAATTAACGTAAAATACAAAGCCACATTTACTCAAAAAGCAGTATTGTCCAATAAGCAANAAAAAAAAAAAAAAGGTTTAAAATGGGCTTTTCCAACACACTGAAGGGCCTTACCCCATAGTCCTTCTTTTCTAAAATTTAGTGGTAAAAGAAAACATTTAAACATTTCACATTATATTTCCTGCCAATCGTGACTGCTTTGAAAAGTCGTAATAGAAACAGTTCCATTCTGATGAGTGTCAGTATCTTATCTGCACACTTTTTTAGTGGACACAAAAAAAATTTTATACATCTATAGTAAAGTCTATGGAAGCTTTAAGGTACAAGACTACATGTTGTAGGCCACATAGATGGGATCTAGCTGGTCTGCCAAAAATCCATCTCGTAGGTGCATACGTTGTTTCTCTCCACGGGAGTTGATAGGAATTACACCAATGTCCACAACCACCACCACCCCTACAATCAGATAGTGTTCCTCCAGGACCACGTTGGTGACCAAAGGAACAAGGTCCAAAGCTTCTTGCTCAGATCCATCCAGCTCAACTACAACGACCAATAAATTTGTCCAGGTAAACACCGCACTGGAACAAAAGAAAAAATAATATTAGTCATGGTTTTTTTCACCCATTTCATTTTTTATCCCTTTTCTTCCACCTTGGTTACCTTTTGTTGGAGCTCCTTGGGCTCTTTCCACATTCTCAGGACAAAGTGCAAACAGCAAGAGAGAACATGCTGCAGGCAGGGGCATGGGGCAGCCCCATGAGCTCTCTCTTTGATAATGCTGCAATTTTAAGCATTAGGCTGAACTTTAGAGAAACTTGCCTGCCATGGAAGGAGGTAGTAAGACAGCAAATGGTTCCCTCTGAAGTCAGGGAAGTGCCACAGCTCTGCTGTGTTCATGGAGTGATGTGTGTGTGGAGGTGCCTTCTCCAGGGTTTTTTGAAGAGCAGCCCAAAGAAACAAGGAGGTTAAGAGAGGAGGCACCAAGAACAGTAGAAGCATAGTCTGAGCTGAAAGGTCTGTGGGCTAACTCCTGCTAGTGAAGGGTGTGGAGCCCTGGGAAGGCACATGGCACAGTGCAGGCTCACAGGGGTGCCCAGGGAGGGGGCATCCTCCCCGTGCCCGCTCAGCAAATGTGGCTACGCGCCTTTGGGACTGGGCTGGCTGCTGTCCAGACAGGTCAGAGCTCAGCACAAAAAAGCTGCAATTCTTCTGGACCAATTGATTTCCACAGAAATAAGGCTGTGTCTCCATCTGTTTTATTTTGGCTGTTTTATTTCTGTTGGGCTTAAGGGGACAGGATTTTTAACATTCCTGATGAACAGTTCAGACCGTCAAGGGAATGCCATTATCTCCAGTATCTCCTCTTTGCTAAAAGAACTTTGTAAGACCCCAAAGTTTTGGTTAAGCCTGTGAACCAAAGAGGGTAAATTTTGGGTTCTGCTACTTGGGTCCATTTCTGGTTAAGGATAATGCATTTATCCTTCTAATTATGGAGGCTGGGAGGGTATCAAAGTCTGGTTTATGCTTCCACCCAGAGCAGTTTTATAACTTCCCTCCATCCTCCTTCTCCTCACATCTCCAGAGTCTCCAAAGACTCTTGCATCTCATGGAAGGTCAGCACAGCTGAGCCACAAAGAGCAATCTCATTCTTCCTTGTAGGTGTTTAAGACACTTCTTCCTCTAGCTTATTCCACAGAATAAACAATAATATTCTACACATGTACACCATACATCAAGTCCTGTACTTTAGTTGCCTTTACCTCGTAAAATCAGGGGATAACTTCCCAGAACTGTCTTGAGCATAAGCATCTGAAAGTCAGAATATATTATGTACACAAGCCATCTTCAAAAAGAGCTTCTTACTCTAAGGTCAATGCTTGATTGAGACAGAAGTGCACTGTTTTAGCCTCCTAAGACAGCTCTGAAAATCCATGTAGTGTGGAAACATACCTTACTTTGCCCAAAAATTAGCTGTGAAAATGTGCTCTATGTTGATGCTTGACAGAATGGATTTTAAGAGAAAAGTACTTAACTCTTAAAAAAAATTCAGGTCCTGCCAAAATACTTTTTGATTGAATTGTTATGTGCTTATTGATCTGGAAAACTAATGAGCAGCCAAAGCAAGGATGAGAAGGCCCCTTTTGACTTAGTATTGCTGTGAAATGAATTTTCATTTGTAATTATGTTTTCACAGACATTCTAGTAAGTTTTGATTGATGCTGAATATTAAAAAAATGAAGTATCTATCTGCACAGGTGACCATCTCCAGAGAGGTCCTGGAATTGTTATTGGTTCCTGTACAAACATCTAAATTAGTATTATATATATTTTAACAAAAAAAACCTGGGGAAGTTTCACTGAAATGTAAGTTAGCATTTAAAACCATGCCTGGAAACTACTGTTAGCTTGTTACTTGGGGAAAGCAATTAATAGCAAGATTCAGGAGTAGGTCCCTAAAACATGGTTTAGAATAAATTAGCTTGTCTGAACTCAGGAAACTGATTCCCAAAACTTTTATGAAGCTTCTATTAAGTCCTAAAATCAATGACACTCTCAAGAGGCTTCAATATAATTTAAAACTCTTTTCATATGCCATGGTTCTAAACTCACTGGTGATCACTGGAAGTAAAAGGAAATATTGTTTTTTATGTTCTTACTGGTTGAGAGTAACCATACATTAACCAGTCTCTCTTATGCATGCATCAACTTTCTAGCCCTGATGAATAAAAAACCTCAACCCAAAAGCTAGGGACCAGGAAGGCTGACCTTTCCTTAAGAAATAATCGAGTCACAATAATCAAGTCATACACAATAGATGCAAAACAGTCAATGCACTGGGAATGGCCCCTCCTGCTGCTTCCACATCACCAAACGCTACAGGAAAAACAAGGAAAAACACCTCCAGGGAAAGAAGCTCCTAATTGTTTTCTTCTCCAAATACCTTGTGTAGCTTTGTATACAAACCACTTCTAAGCAAATTCCAGGAAGCTCTGTTCTGTTCCTCTTTTGAGACTTTGACATTTAAATGAGTCAGCCATGTGCTTTAATTAAAACACATACATTAAAACACATACCACATTTTGTGGTATTAGAAACACTTTCGAAATGCACAGTGTGGGTTTACATCAGAATAAAACCAGACTGTGCCACTCTTTCACTTTTTACGTGTTAAGACACAGGAGATCCAGAGTCAGAGGTTGTTGATTTTGTGCTAAAATTTTTGAAAAGACAAGAATAATTTTAAATGACCTTTCAGATCTGATCCTCAATGACAGAAGCTGCCCAGTAGGATCACATGTCAGTCAACAAATCCCTGAGTCCCTCAGTGGTGTCCAGTATTACAGAATGAGCTGCGTTTCTCAGAGGCTGTTTTCACAATCTATCAACTGGACATACCCAGCACCTTCTGTGTGCAACAGAAATTGATGCAGTTAAATCCTTACTGGGCCATTGAACTGAAACAAGAGGCTCATGCCCCTGTCCACAGAAAGGGATATACAAATTATAAATTAAAAAAAAAAAAAAAAAAAAAAAAAAAGAGTTAGCTGGCTATTATTTTGTTAAGAGGTGTTTCACAAAGACAAAAGGAGGGCCCCTAAGAGAAGCTGAAAAAGCTACATGAGAGAAGTCAAGGACAGTCAGGACAAGGGCTGTGAATGAAAATTCCATGATGGTTATTTGGCAGAGCATTGGTTAGGAAAAGGCTGGGAACTGTGAGCAAACCAGATGTTGGCACTCTGAATAACTGTGTGTCCCTGTTCTGCAGGGACCACATCCGAGACACATCTAATTCATCAGCAATCTCTCTTTTTGAGGGAAAACAACCCTGAAATACTGGCCTTAAATATTGGCCTTTGGGCAAAGGGTAGCAACAGTACAGAGTGTTTTCGGAATTCTCACTCCTGTGTCTTGTACATTATCACCCAACTACAGGGAAGAGTTAAAGTACTGAGAATTATCTGCATGTACTTGGAGAAATTCAGCTGTGTTTTTCTCCAGTCATGCCAGCTTACCCCCAACCCTTTTCCAGTTTCCATTTTTCACTCAGGATTTCCATGGTTGTGGAACAAAAAGGATCCTTGAAATGCTCTCAGCAATCTTGAAGGCAGTAACATAATTTAAGCATTTTTTGGTACTGAAACCCTGCAATTTCTGCAGTGTGATATGGCTACTTTATTCACTGTCTGTGAGCTCATAATTTGAGGGGACACAAACCTCTGACAAACAGATAATGCCGAACACAGCAATTTATCAAACTATGGCCATCTTATAATAGACCAGTCCTTAAACAGCTTGTTCTGAAAATTTTACATCCACTGCTGGTACTGATCTGACACATTTTCAAGGGGAATTTCATGACATCCATAAAGTGTTCATACTGCTCTGTATGAAGGCACAGAACACAGCTCCCTGTGTAATGCCTGTCTAGCACAAGACTATTCCAGCAGTGATGATGCTCAAGGGAGGAGGCAATAAGGCAAAACCTCAGTTACAGTCAGCCAAGCAACTAATTGCATTCATTTTAACTGATATTTAAGAAAAAAGCAAAGTCTTTTACTAAAGACCAGTTCAGCTGCTGTGCTTCATTCATTATTAAGCTTCCTGCTCCAGGCCACATCTCTGCAATGAGGATTGAAAAGAAAAATGCACTAAATTGTTCTGGCTATTGCAACAGATTAATTTTGGTTGAAAGGTGAATAGCTGAGCTGTGGTTGTACCAAAACAAAACAACTACCTGACTGAGTCTTCTGATGCAAGAATAATGAAAAGCAATTTGTGCTCACGTTGGACTCAAGAAATTATTTCCTGCTGTGTCCAACTGAGGATGATACATTAAGATAACATTATTATTAACTAATTGATTTACTGCTTCAATTTCCATTGTGACCTTGATTTGATCACTGCTTCATTTTTTAATAACCAATTCAAAAATAATAGTGCATTCACTAATAAAATTTATTAGTGTGTTCATTTATTTGAAATGTTTGCTTGCTTACTCCTTAAAAAAAAAAATATATATACTGAATGAACCTATCCAAAATCAGTCCTTTCTGATTAAATCTGTTTGTGAAAAGTTTCATCCTAAGGACACATTTGCAGCTGGGTTATAAATCCTGTGACCATCCTGACTGGCCATTTCCTGGATCAATTGCAATATCCAAGGAAAAAACCCAGACATTATAGATATTTCAGCTTTTTATAAGGGCCCTGGTGTTATATAATCCTTACCATTCTGTGATGCTCTTGTGTGCTCTAATGACAGAGGTTTCGATATCGATCGGGTGGTACCTCATCCCTCGCAATTCCATGGCTTCATCTAATGCACCCACCACATAAAGTGCATCATGGCGTTCTGGGGGAAGGGATAGAAAAAAAGAGAAAGATTCTACTCTCCAGTACATTAAATTATAGAAATGTTCACATTAAGAATTAAGTAAAATAAGTACAACATAAGTTATCCTCGAATTTCTGAAACCCCGAAGTGATTTCTGAACTAATGAGCATTTTCCATTACTAAAGTGCAATGCAGAGCAGAAACCAGAAGAAAGGAAGTCCAAAACACTATTCCCATTTGAAAAAAACAAAGGCAGAAATCTTTATCCAAAGACAGTGGCAGAATTCCTGATTTTCTCCCAGGTGGAGGCAGAACACATTCTTTTTTTTTAAGGCACTCTGAATAGAAAATAGGTTCCTTGTTTCTCTCTGTTTTTTCAAAGAGAAAGAATAGATTTGATCCTGACAGTGTGGCTGATGTTCTTCCAATTGATTTGAGATGGTCACTACAGATACTTTTAATCTATTACAAAGGTGTTTAGCAATAAACTAAAAATATGCTATAGCTAGATTGTAAATTGCTTATTCAGGTAACTTAGGCATAACACTTTTATAGCCCACATTTTTTACTTACTGAAGAAATAAATTAGGCTGAAATCACATGTTTTAGAAGATACTAGGCTGAAAGTAAACTATTACATGCTAGTCATAAAAGGATATTTGCTAAAAAACTTAAAAGCAGATAACTGACTCTTTTTATACTAATTTGGATAGTTGTGTGGTGGTATTATAATGACAATATGAGGTCTACCTAATAAAGAGCTGAGAGCTTTCTGCAGGAGGAGCTAAAAGTAGGAGAATGGAGCAACTGTTTGCTAGGAGAATACCTAAGCCATTTGACTGCTTAAATTCCAATATCCTCAGAGAATCCTGAGTTTTCTCAGGGTTGGGCTATCATTATGAAATGAAAAAAGGCTGTGCAACCCAAAGTAAATCTATTCAGAAGGTGCCATTATAAGGACACAGCAGCAGGCCTAATCCACAGGGATTACTGATATGTTTTCAGATTTGATGAATTCTTTCTTGGCTGAATAGCAGCTATTCCAATGGCCCTGGGATCACTCCTGGAGGTGTTCACAGCATTGCTGGAAACCCTGCCTGGCCAACAGCCTCCCCTGGCCAGCTCAGCCACAGCCACTCATGACACTGTGCTCCTCAAAAATCACAGAAAAAAACCCATTTTCCCAAGCACTGACTTTGTGTGCCTGGCAGCACTGGTTCACTTAAATGTGTACAAGAGATAAGGAACATCATTAAAACAAGTAAGGGAGTCTTGTACCTTCCCAACAAAAACCCAAACACTCTGTAGCTTCTGTTGCAGGCTATTGCTTGTGTTACATTTCAGTACCCAGCCCTCTGGGGTAAAACAGGAAAATCTGAGGAATGGACAGATCCTGTGATTAGGTTTATAACAGAGCTGGTGGTCAGAGGAGGGAGAGGGCTCAGACTCCCACCAGGCTTTTTCCACCTTCACAAATGCATTCCTGGGAACTGCCAGAGTAAATGATGGCAGTTTCATCTGTATTTCTCATTTTTCAAGCTGAAGCACTGGGTATGTTAACAGTGCCAAAAGGTCACTGGTGGAGGGGATTTATAGTACCTGAGGTACAACAAAGGAAAAGCAACTATTTCAGTAGTGAAACCTTGCCCTCTGATTTATTTTCTGATTATTTAAATTAAGGGTTTCTTTGCAGTTTTACAGGTTTCACAGACAAAGCGTGTTGCGTAGACCTCGATGATGAGAAACCTCTTACCTCCATTTGCATCTGTGAGTTCTGTTCTTCTCAGGAACCCCAGATAACCAGTTCTTGCCCAAATAGTCTGTGTATCTCCAAAGCTGAGTCTTGAGTTAAAATGATCTGATTGCAAAGATTCATCTCCATAGATGGTAAAATACCCACTGGCGTTGTGAGTGCTGTGAACCCATATCTAAGTTAAAAGCAATTATACTGGTATTAATTAAAGTAGCTTTTGAGAATGAAGCATTATTGAAAATTCTTGATGCAAATATTTTTAGTATAGCTAGATAATACTAAAAATGTCTTTTACCACTGTTTCTGAACCCATAACTGACCCAGTTCTAGCACAGAGACACCAATCTATTTTTGTTGAAGTTGCTGGACAGCTCTGAGCCCAGCACGTTGCTCACTCCTGGTTCAGTGTATTTACCCCAGAAAAGCATCTTCCATGAACACCAGAAAGATAGATTATTTTAAAGGGTGAGGCCAGGGACCTTCACCTATGGAGAAGGATTCATTCCATCAAACTTGAAGCATCATGGAAGTTTTTACAATTTCAAATTAATGAACTCTTACAGAAACTCACAAATTAGACTGTGGTTTTAATTATGATCAAACATGTTCTTCATTATGTTAACTAGATTTTTAACTGCTTGAAAATAACATATTTTTTTCCTCAGTCTAGAAACATAAAATAAATTTGAAAAACACATAGTCTTGCTCAACTCAGCTAATGAGAGTACTTCAGTGCAATGAGGCACAATGATTATGGAGAGCAGAAAAAGGAAACCATCTAGCTGAAATGAGACTAATCTATAAACTTACTTTTCATGTAAGCTTCCATCAGAATTAGTGACACACCAAGTATATAGTTAGGAAAAGCCTTTTTTTTTAACTTGAGGTATTATTATTTAGAAATAATTTACTAACAATTTTAATAATGACAAAAATATCAAGATCCACACTTTATATGATCAGTAGAATTCTCTATTTTCTAAACTGGGAATTTGATAAGATGTATCATAGAAAATCCTTAGCATGTACAACAATAGCTTTGTCTCTGCAATTTAGTTCAGAGCATACAAACTTCAGGTTCTCATGACTCACCTCACCAAGATGAGAATCTCCCAAGGGTCCCTTTGTTTCTGGATTAGCAATAATGATACGTACTCCTGGGAGGATCTATTGAAAGAAAATTGAGGCAGTAAGAAAGCAGGTACCACCTTATGCTACTTCATGCTGATGCTTTGTACCCAAAGTACCTTCATTACAAATTATAATAAATACATAAAAATCCCTAAAAAGTTAGACTTACAGTGCAAGAAATACAAAATAGTCTTTAGATATGATAAATTATGAGATAATTGGGAAATATGACAAAACTGCTTCTCTTTGTGAATGCTGTTCCATCAATAAACCTCCTCAGAAATCAAATGTTCACTTGCAGAACAAAAGTCTGACCAAATGGCCCCTGCCTCTATGAGAATACACAGAAGGATAGGAAAACTCCAATGGGTTTTCCTTTGGCCTAAAACAAGGAGAAAGCCAGAGGCATCATGCAATCTCCCAGAACAATGACCTGCCAAAGCCCTCATGTAATGGGCATTCAGCAACTACAGAGGTGGATGTTGAGCCCTAGAATAGAAAAGGGAGTATCCTCTGACCATGAACGTCTGCAAAGCTCTGGACAGAAGCCTTTAGGTGAGCACCCAGAGCACCCAGAGCTGCCCCTTTGTCCTCCCCCTGTCCCCAGAGCCATGCCCCTGCAGGGACAGTCCCTCTGCCTGTCAGCACAGTGTTGGTCATCTCAGGCCAGCTCCCACTGCAGGTGGGTTCCACATCGATGGCACTGCCTGCACCAGCACCACATTTGTCAGCTGCTTCAAGAATGACACGTAGGGGATGACAAACCTTCTTTTTGAATAAAAGAAGGAATTGATTTCTGCATAAAAGAGCAAGGTACAGGTTCTGAGAGAGCAGTAATGCATCAGTTACTGCCATCATGCTGTAACCTCACCAGTAAAGGAAGGACATCAATCTGCACAGTTAATAGCACCTTGCCCAGTATCACATGCATGTAAAAATGAAAAGAAATGGATATTTACTGAAAAGATTGACCATAAAAGTTAGACTTAAATCTTCTTTCAGTACTTACTTTTCCAGACTCCATGAGAGGCAAGCTATGTGGAGATCCTCTTTCGACTAAACGAACTCTGTAAAATAATATGTATAATACATGGTTGTGTTTATTTGCTTTTCATTAACATTTATTTCTAAAAGGAATGGTTAATGGTTGCAGAGTTTAATGTTATTTTTGGAAGAGTTGAAGCATATATCCTGTTATGTGGAACATAATCCGACCAAATATGTAATATTAGTCAAAACTTATGGAGGGAAAATAAGAAAAAAACTATGTTTGTGAACTTCTTCTAAAATAATAAATTCTCCAAATGTAGTTGGTGCCTTCTATTTGTTTTTGATTGACTTTTGTAAATGGAATTCTACACACAAATTTATTCATGACAAGAGGGATCTAAAATATTGATTTCCCACAAGAATGTCATAAAAGCCAGGGCACAGACACAAAAGCATGTGAGCTGAGTGAGCAACCACATTCCACAAGTAACTGACAGCTAAAATCAAAATCATATCAAAATAACTCATAACCTGGCCTCAGCTTCAAATCTGCATTTGCAATCTTGTAATTATTTTCAATGGACAGTGGTTGATAAACATTTTAATATTAAAAAAAAAATCATTACATGAAAAATGTTATTACTGCTGAGATCAGATCCATTCTCAGAGTGCGACTTTCTGGTTCTCTCTTCTTTTATTAGATAACTTATTTCCCCGCTAAGTGAACTGGAATGTCATCTCTCCTTCAGTGATATCATGGTCTGGAAGGAAATTTCTCATTTAACCTTAGGTTAGAATGAAAGAGACTCCCAAGTTCTCAAAGAGCTGATGATCTTAGCTAGTACATGGCAAAGAAAATTTGGTATCATCTAGTTATTCCTGCATCCTAAGTAACTTAAAATTTCTAGCAACCATGAAAACCTTAAACTTCCCACTCCTGAACAATATCCATAATCCACTTAACCAAGCTAAATCTGGACTTGTGTCTGAAGAGCTGTTCTTACCTCTTTCCTCCCCCCAGCTCTGGGCACCAGAAAGACAAAACCCCACAATACAAAATGCCTAAAAGCCAACCATGTAAAGGGTAAAGATGAAGTGTCAGAAGACAAGAAAACAAACAGGAGCAGATGGATAGAGAGCTGGATCCCATTAAGCTAAGCATAAAACTGAGTCTATTAGGAGCAGTCACAATAGATCTTTTTCTGACTGTTTTGAGGTCTTTTTATAGACAGAGCATCACAGTGCTTAGTTTGGGAAAGGAGGGTTGAGACACAGAGACTCCTCAGCTAGAGGTCCCTTTGGAGAACAAAGCTTTGGCAAGTTCAGACCCCAAGCAGAAAGGAGATGGAAAAAGATCTTTTTTTTTTTTTTTTTTTCTCTTTT